GTGTGGGTGAGGGAGAGAGAGAGAGAGAGATCAACATAATAATGGCCATACTGTATAGTGCAGAACAGATAGATAGAAACAACAGAGGTAAAGAAAAGAAGCAGGGGCTTCCAGTGGCATCCTCCAACCGCTCGCTTCGTCGGAGTCCTCAGTCTTGGGTTTTTGATACTAATTAATTTGAGTGTGTCAGTGCAAATTCACCAGTGCAGAATTTTGAGTGAAGCTCCACTATTCATACAGACCTACAGTTTAGCCACGTTATAAAACCCTAAAGGTTTTGTAATTAAATTCCTGCATGTGGTTTAATGATGAATCTGATGTGAAGTGTACATTTTGTCAGTTTTACTTTTTTTTTTTTTTTACATTACATTGAATTTTATTGAAAGTAATATATAATTTAAATGTATATGTTTTTACGGTCCTGTACAGCCAATGACCTGTTTGTGTTGCAACAGTTGCTACTGTAAAACTCTAACATAAACTAAAGTCTTCGATATTCGACACTTATTATAGGACCTATTTGTGTTGCAAAACTGCCGTAAAACTTTAACGAAAACTTAAGTCTTGGGCGTTATAATGTAACTCTGTTCTTCTGTGTCAAATTACAAATCTATTTCGGTGTCTAGAGTATCATTTTCTTTTTTTTTTTAGTTTTCTTTTTGTGTGTCGAGTTATGCATGGTTCAGTTGTCATGTAGAACATACTTTACCCCGTATGTGTGTACGATCGAGTATATGTGCGAAAGGTATTCCTTTAATTTTTGCAAAATAGTTAAGATATATTCTACAGTATTTCCCCTTCAAATATGAACATGAAAGAGCAAAACTGTGATGAAATTTTGAAGTAATGAAAGTTCAAATTTGAGACATTTTATTCAAAGCGCACCGTGTGTAAGATTAAATATGAACATAACAACATTAAACAGAACATACTTGATTTCTATTTCGAACGTGACTTTGCAAGCTCAAATATGACATCAATAGTTAATTGAAAGAGCGTGATTGGCGGGTGCTGTAATGTAGTTTATTCCTTCTTTCCTATCAAACATTAATTCGTTCCTGTCTCTCCTCCTTCGTTTTTTGTGTATTGGTATGTTACTCTCTAGTTGACTAGATCTATAATCTTCGAAAGTTATACGAATTGTTTGTGTTGCAAGTACTGTGACTCTTACAAAAATTAAAGAAATTGATAAGTTACATGAAAGGTGAAGAAGGGAAAGGGGAGAGTAGCTTTACTCTCAAATCCCTGATGCAAAATCTGGATTTACGAGACATAATAATATCTATCAGGGGATGACACTTCCCCCAACATGTCCTTTGTGTGACTATACATAATTATGAGACTGGGTCATCACCTGTTCCATTGCACATCCCCAAATTAATGACATCAGAGCTACACATCTCCCTCCGAGACCTA